AATTACGGCTTATTTTTTGGTGTTACATTTCCATTTTTGGAGTTAGAGAAGGATCTACAAGGCCAATAAAAAGTTGTAGGACTAGGTGTCTTGCACTATATCAAGTGTGGTTGAAATACAGGGCAACCCAGTGTTGGCAAATGACCTCAAAATGACTTTGAAATAACCAAATCATGTGATGATTTTAATATAAGTTACATATATGAAATGACCTAGGTCATTTAAAAAAATAGCAAATGACCTTGAAAATTGCCAACCCTGAATAAATATATATTTCCGTATTTTTTCCATAAATATAAATGTATCATATTCACGGAATCTATATAGTTCCGTTTTTCATTAAAAATGGAGGTTTCACTGAATACAGTAATTAATAAAATGATGAAACTCGGATAAATGACTGAGCATTTACTGAATAAATCAATTAATAAAATGGGTAAAACTCGGATAAATTTAATTAATAAATAAATTTTCAAATGGTCTACTAAAGCGGTCAGTAGGGATTCTGTACAACTTTCAATTTCGTACACTATTACTATTCCTTTTTATTCCGTGCACTTTTTATTTTTTAATTTTTGTACGGAATTTGAAAAGTTGATTGGTGGGCCAGTCTGTACGATCTTTGATTCCATATTTTGTTCCATACAGAGCACGATTTACTACAGAGGCGCAGATGTACAGAATATGGAACCTGTATAGACTCTACTAAAGATGGCTCCTCAGTTAATTGAGACTAGTTGCAGCACATGAAAATTGGATTGCAGTTGCAGTTGTGGCGTATGAAAATGTAATTGCAGCTAGTTGTGGTTCCCATCTTTAAATGTTACTAACATGATAAAATGGTAAATTTTTGAAAGATTATGGATTAGCAATGTGCATACAGCAACACGAAAATTTGTATGTGGTACATCAACCTTGTGATTTGACAGCTTTGAGTTAACACCAGTCTGTCCATGTTCTATTTGAAGTTTTCCATATCTGAACAGAATTATAATTGATTTGCAAAACAATGAAAAGAATAATATTAGTATGACCATATTTTATCTATTATTAATTATCTATTTTTAGAAAATAGGTAGAAGATTCAGCATCAAAAATTCTAGTTGATATATTCTTGTAATAACATTATACTATTAATTATTAATCACTTTTTTTAGATCTGGTGGTGTACATACAACCAGAAAGAATTGTTACGTGACAATCAAATTAGTTGTTATTATTATATTATTATTATATGTGATAACAATTCTTTCTGGTTATACACCACCAGATCTAAAAAAAGTGATTAATAATTAATAGTATAATGTTATTACAAGAACATATCGACTAGAATTTTTGATGTTGAATTTTCTACCTAATAAATAATTAATAATAGATAAAATATGGCCGCGTAACAATTCTTCTGATCGTACACCGCCAGATCTAAGAATATATTCATAATTAATAATAAATAAAATATGATTTCTTTCAACCATTAACCTTTAGAAAAAGAAATACCTTTTAATTTAATTATTACATTCCTAAATATATATATAAAATATTAATATAAAAATAGGTACAAAAGTAAATATTAAAAAAGAAACATGTTATCATTGCTTGGGTTCATAAAACTATTTTTTTTATGAATCTCTCTAAAACTAATTAATCAACACCAGATGAGATCTACAAAGCTTGGAAAGCAAGTTTTGTAAAGTATAGTTGATGATTGCTTTATCTAGTTGCACGATAAACGAGTTTGATTATTTGAAAATGCCATATAAGTATTTAAAATCCAAAAAAAAAACACTATTTACCTATTACCATATATTTTTGTATCTTGGTAAGTACTTGATCGAATTGAGTGATCTTAGATTCAAAAGAAAGCCTAGATTCTATTTCACATAATGTTCAAACCTTATTTATAGTTGATATTTAGTAATGTTATTTAATATTGATTTTAAATCACAATTTGTTGACGCATTTTAACAATAATAATATTATTAAATATCTTTTACATTTCTTTTCTCCTTTTTTGATAATTGTTATATTATTGTTTCTTGCTTATTATTTTAAAACGTAAAAGAAATTTTAAACTGTACAAATGTTCATAACAATATAATTATTTGCATTTATACTTAAATTTGGACGCGTCAAAAAATTTTATACAACATGCGGGAAATTATATTAATATGTTTTAATCAAGTTTGTAAGAAAAAAATGCCCATTTTTATTTGCGACTTTAACAGTTACTTAATAATAAAAAGGTCTGTTTTTATTTGTGACTTTATCAGTCACTCAATAATATTCCAGAACTATAAATCTTATTCTCACACTCCGTTTAATTCCATATTTACAAGTTAATATAATAATAAATGATATCATGGAAAAAATCCGGGTTGCTTAGTTAATTGTGCTGCTTTTATGAAATAAACTGAACATTTACGGAGTGATAAACATGATCACGGAGATATAATGGAAATATTCTGGAGTGTCATTTTTACAGGGTTCCTAAATCGATGATCAAAGAACATCCTATTCTGGTTTCTCCACATGAGCATCTCTGGAAGTTGTAAACCCGTATTTTTGGATTTGTCTTTACGGAGAATAGAAAGGTGCTCTAATTAGTAGGTAGGACAATCCATTCAGCCTAAATTTGATGGACATCACCAAACATTGTCATTAGAAAGTGAAAAATCAAGAGAGTAACTTTCAGAAATGAAAACCATCATAATTAAGGAAATCTACACTTTACACATTCTTGAACAACATGTTTGTGGTGGCCTAGTCTTGGTGGTTGGTAACCTACGCAGAATCCTCCCATCAATGCTCAGCAAGTTTTTTCTCACCAGCTTTGAATTCGTTCTCTTCCTATTTTACTACGTCAACCAAAGCAACGGAAAAATGACCTGAGTTTCTACAATCTATTAGATTTGGGATCCTTTGTGAGAAATCAAAGTCAATGATAAATGAAAAAATTTCCAATTCCCAAAATATAAATGCAATGTTAGGTACAATGCATGTTGTTGGGCTTTGACAGATGGCTGATGATATCAATTCTCCCATCTGCAGCAACTTAACATTTGACGGTGAATGTTCTGATACTATTGTATCTTTGTCAGTGGATACCTTTAATAATGTGGCGTTTGACAATAGTGATGATCGATTGAATTTTAAACACCATATCAATCTTTCAAAGGCTATCACATTGCGGCAGGGTGCTTTGCATAATGTTCTTAAATAATAAATTGTTTGAACATGGGATGTGTAATGGGACAATAGGGACAATCATCAAGATTATTGATAATGATAATGATGAGGTTACTTTCCACATTGTTAACAATATCGTAAAGATAAATGTTTAAATAGAAATCATATACTTCACTATCAATGGAATACCAGCATCCATGAGGTAGTTCCCAATTCAGAATGTGTTTACAATCACAGTTCGCAAGACACAAGGCCTTATGATGCCACATTCAACTGTGTACATTTGATGAAAATATGTTCACCACAGGACAGATCTATGTGTCAATAAATAGGGCACCTTTCCTGGGATTTCCTGGATATATTACCTTTTAATCTTAATTGCATAAAGGTAGATAGACATGTTATTGATGAGTGCAAAAGGTTAAACCTCTTGAACAAAAATAGTTTAAAAAGAAGTGATGCGATAAAAAAATACCATGTAAAAAAATATATAAAAAAAAATAATTGGAAAATTTATTTTCAATTAATCCCTTTTTTATTTATCGACATAATAAATAAAAATTGTTTTTTCATTTTCGCCTACCAAAAAATTATGACAATCATGATTATTATATTTATATGTAGTAGCCCTGCTCTAAGCCCAGAAACGCCATCATCAAATCTATCATCTTTGAATGATTTAAATACTGCGATCAATAATAATTAAATTTGAAAAATGCGTGTAATATATTAATATTAACTAAATAATTTTCGAGCGATATTTTCCGCGAATTCGGAAACGTAAATGAATCTCGATTGCTCACTTTGCTTTCTCATTTGTAAAAAATTTTTTTTATTGGCTACTATAGTTGTGGTATAAGTAACTTGAGAAATGAAATGAATTACAGGTCACTCATGTTATAATGACAGTCTTGTTATCTGCTATAATAACATTTTTAAAAAACCAAATTTATATAAATTTACTCCCGTTATAGTTATCTATAGGCCTAAACCAAAAATTGCCTAATGCCTAAATTATGGGTTGGTATTATTAATGTATTTTGAATATTCAAAAAAGGGGATTAATGACTTTACAGATAAGCATTATTTTTTTCATTAAATAATAATTTTTATTGTAAAATAATTAGAGCCAGCGTTAGCAATTTCAGCTACTTATTTTTTGTGATAAGAACTAGGTATCTGTGACTTAATTTGTTGAAATACTGATATTAAATAATAATTGGTTTTTTCGCGACTCTATTAGAAAGGTTTCTTTTCTTTAAAAATATTAGTTCTGGATTGAGAAATACTTTTTGCGATGTAAAAATGAAATCCAGAAAAGTGTATATTAATATGAAAGGGAAGGTGTAATAGAGGTGGTAGATATAGAAGGTGATGATGAGAAAGTTAAAGTTGCACATATAACTAATGCATATAATTTAATATTAATATTAATAATTTTTAACAAAATATAGACACACCAAAAAAAGTATGGATTAATAAAATTCGCTTCAATCTGTGATACAACTTTTTTATGCCATTTAAAAATTTTTGTCAAGATAACATAGTTCTCTGACTCATGTCAGAACTAACACAATAGTTTTCCCAATCCAGAAATATATCTACAAAGTAAATTAAGAAAGAATATCTAAAAATTAATGATATGCAAATAAGGAAAGAAGTTGTATAAAAAACTATAGTTCGTTCTTATATTAATGTGTATAAGGGTTAAATTAAATAATTTATATTCTATTCTATATTAATAAATTGAAATTTATACTATAAACATTTTTTCAAGAATACAATTTATAGAAAACCTAAATGCTAAAAGACCAATGTTCACAAAGCTGTAAATTTATAAATATAAAATTATAAGATTACAGCAGTACTGGTTCATGATTTGTACCTCCATGACCATACTGACTATATGGGGTCTGATTATTATTATATGGGGTCTGATTATTATTATATGGGGTCTGATTATTATTATATGGTGGTTGATTATTATTATATGGTGGTTGATCAACCTTGACACCACGTCTTCTTATACGGCGAATTCCGAAAAAAATTGCAGTTATTAGTAAAACTGACACTATGGTACCACCAGCAATTCCAACAACTATTATGACAATCATATTAGAAGATGAAGAAGGTGAGTCAGAAGTTGCAGAGTTCGAAGATGAAGAAGAATTCGAAGATGGAGAGGGATTTGAGGGCGAAGAAGGAGATATTGAACTCGAAGTTGAAGAAGGAGATACCGCATTCGTAGGTGTATATGAAGTAGTCCACATGTAATTATTTTTTTGGCTTATATCAAGCAAATAGGTATTAGCTGATGGTTGATTGTCAACATATTCCCCTGAATTGAAAATATTAAATTTAAAATGTTATTTTAGAATAATAATGATAAAATGCTTGACTGTGTTAAAGCTTACCAAATGCAACGAAAATATAATCGCCAATCAATGTGGAAGTGTGCCAAAATAAGCCTGGTAAAATACCGCTACCGGAATTTGAAACTGCAGGTACTGACCAAACAAATTTTGTGGCATCTAAAGCAACAATTCCAGCACCTTGAAATCCATCGATTATTAAAATTTGATCATATTTAGCTAAATAAATAATAAAGCATAAATTATTAAACTGTTAATATTTGATAATCTAAAACATTTATATGTAGTCAAATTTCGTTTCAACGAATCTATGGGACATATAAGAAAATAATCGTTATGCCAAAATTATTAATCGTGATTAAACGAATTTTACATGTTTTTATACGTGAAGCAAAAATTTAAAATTCGTTATAATTGTGATTCGTTGAAACAAGATTTGTTGAAATTAGGTTTAATTGTAAGAAGTGTACTAACATATAAAAGTTGCAGTATGACCAGCCCGAGTAGCTGGAACTTGACCTGATGTAGTCTACGAATAGAAGTTCAAAAAAATAGTCTATTAACCCTGATTTGAAATTTAGTAAAGATCAATAGCATAAATAAATACTGACGATTGTTCTCCACGCATTGCTATTTACATTATAGGTTGGTATCTGTTAAAAATAAGAATTGTAAGTTGAAGAAGCATTTAACAATAAAATAATGACATTAATCAAAGCGTACGTCTGCGATTGGAAGAAGTGTACGATCAGGGGTCATTCCGCCAATATATAGAGCATCACCATTTGGTAACAATGTTACGCTATATCTAAACCGTGCAGTAGGTGCGTTTGTTGCTGTAGATACTGTCCATGTTAAAGTTGAGGTATTTAATATATATAGATTATTTAGGGTATTTCCTCCAAAGATATAAATTGCATCTTTTGAAACAACACAATTAATGCCGGTTATATTTAATGGTTCATTTCCTGAAATAAGTGGATTACTCCAACTCTGCGTTGCAAGGTCAAATTTCTGTACGGGGCCTCTCCCACCGATAAAAAATATAGAATCATTTTTAATTTCATTAACACAAGATGCACCAGTGATTCGAGCTGAAGAAACCTTATAAGAAAGATCGGTCCAAGGAAGTAGTTTTATATCAAAAGTCTTTGATACATCAAGGTAAAAAAAATTATCAATGACTGGGGTAGTCGGACCAGATCCACCTTGAAAATAAATCTTATTATCAACAAGAACTGCAGTATGTCCATGTCTTGCGGACGGAACATATGCGTAAATGCTATTATTGGGTTGAAAAACGTAAATTGAAAAAAATAATAATATAGAAAAAATACTTGTAATCCTCATTTTTAACCTAGGTTTTAAAGAGAGAAATTTTTTGAACGGAAACTTCCAGTACGTTCATTCATTTTAATTGTGTTGATGTTTGTTTGTTACAATTTTATTATTATTTTAAATGGCACATTAGTATATTTTTAGTTCGTGAAACGTACTAGAAGATTAATAAAATAGAAAAAATATGATATCAAATAAAAATAATCATTATATTAATAAAGAAAGATGTCTAGGAAGGAAGTCGAGAGATTCCGAATGGTTTCTCGTGATATTTTTTTATATTATCTACGTTTTCTTTTGTGTGGTCAGGGTATTTGTTTCATGTTGATGAAGTCCGCCATTTTATTGAAAATTTGTCAAAAAGAAATAACACTACATGTATCAATAAATGATTTTTTTGTTTTAAAAAGTCGCCATTTTGAACACTTTACTAGCCTCGTCCATATAAATTTCCTAATTAATGATCTGCAATGTATGTTGCACATGCAATGAAAAATTTTAATTGATGATCCGCGAATAAATGAGTGAGTCGTACATAGTAAAAAACGAGCATAGTGGACATTTGATTTCATTGGCTAAATTATGTGACGATCTCCCTTCCAGATATCACGCAAAAATTAAATT